AGCACCCTGGGCTGGTGGAAGATGTCCCTGCTGATGGCAAGGGGGTTGGAACCAGATGATCTGTAAGGTCCCTTCCAACCCAAACCATTCCATGATTCTATATAGATGCTAAAGTCCTCACAAGAAAATGCAGGGGAGGCTATTAGGGAGCGGGATATGTTTTTTTTCCTTGTTTCTGCATAAAAGCCATCTTTAGTGGAGGAGTTAATTTACTCGAACTCCTCATGCAACATCTCTTCCTCGAACGGAAACACTGTGCAGAGCTGCATCGCTGCACTGTTTGCAGTTTGTGTATCTTCACGGTTTTCTTCTTCAGCAAAAAAGCAAGCTGGCATTTTGAAGCGAGGGGTAGTTTCTCACAGTAGAGTACCGTGAGCACACCAAACCATGGCGAGCATGCGTTGCCTTCGCGAGGTCCGTTCAGCGTGCGGGGTCCTGGGTTGCTCCTGCCCCTCCACTCCCGGAGCGTGGCTGGATCGCGTCATCAGAACAGGAGTGTCCCAAATTTTGTATTCTCAGGGTCCACACTGATAAACTACGTATGGAAAGCACCACTACATTTCATGTAATTTTTATCCATGGAAAAGGGTTGGTTTTTTTTTTAAGTTGCCAGAACATGCAGCTCGCTTATGAGCTACGAAACAGTGAAAAGACCGCCAGCCCCTTCGTGCCGTTCGTTTGCATGCCCCTCTTTCGCCTGGAAGAAGTACCCGTTCTGTAGGACACAGTGGCTTGGAGAGAGGATACTGCCTGAAATCTGTATTGTAACGCTTGACTTCGAAAGAGACACTGCTGGGTTGGAAGTAAGGCATGCTAGAGAGCTGATAGAAATAGTGAAAGATGAATGATAGTTGAAATATGAGTGATATGAAAAATAATTTGGTAAAGAAGAAACTTGGTAAGAACGATACTAATGTTTAACAAATAACAAGGTTAAGGATAAATGTAATCAGCCCTACTCCCCCACTGTATTTTTTCTATCCTGCAGCCCTACAAAAAGGTCATTCGGTGGAAATAAGGCAGCAAAGACAAAACATTTTATGTTTTCCCAATCCTCTACTTTACTGTTATTACCGAAGTCGGTGGCATGCTGTAGTTGAACCATTTTAGTCTTAGTTGAAATATCTTTAACTTCTACTAATTATGTAACAGCTAAATCAAAGTTTCTGATTTTTTAAAAATAGATCTTTGATCTGTATAAGCTTACTTGTCTAAACACACCCCAAAGTGAAATGAAACGTAGCGTTCGTGTTCCTACCAGCCACTGAGCTAACAGCTATCGAGGTGCCTGTGGAGAAAGTGTCTGCAACAGCGTCGTAGTGTTCGCTTCTCTCCCGTCTTTTCAGGCTCGTTACGGTGCCGTTGTACAGACTTTGATCATGCTTGCTTGCATTTCTTGGTTCTTTCAGAAGCATGGTTAATTATCTGTATCTATTCATAGTCTAAACATTCAGCATTAATAACTGCTGGTTGCTTCAGGGCAGAGCTCGCCGCATTTGTTATCGACAATAAGCAATGAGAATTAATTGTCTCTCATTAATTCAGTGGTGAACAACTTACTTCATACGGCTTTAAAAGCAGGACACAACCTCACGATGTGGTGTTGTGCTGTTGTTGAGAGAAGCAGGCTGTTCTCGCTCTGGTCGTTACTTGCGCACGGCAGTCCCCTCGGGTTTGCAGGCTCCGTTGGTGCAAACCGCAGCTCCGGTCCTGGAACCGGTGCCCGGCGCCCTGCTGCCTGTGCGGAGCCAGCAGGGCTCTGCGCAGACACAACAGAGCTCCCACGTAGTTTCTGCTTCACAAAATGGGGTTGGCATCTACATAGTTCGCTGCTTGTCCAGACGCAACTCCGCTTTGTCACACCCAATTAATGCCTTAATTCTGAATCACGCCGATAGACTTGTGCTCACAGGCAGAACTCATTGCAGCTGTTGTGCTTCAAATATTTAAAAATTAATATCCATGTGTAATTTTGCATAAATGAGTAGTGCCGTTCAGTTCACGATGGAGGCCCTTCTTCCGTAGGCAAGGCTAGGAAATGTTTTAAAATAAATACATACCCCAGTTACCAGAAAACTCTGCTATAAACTATGACAGCTGTTTATAAGACATTGTTGGTAATTAATTGTGTTTGTCCCCAGGATAATACAGGCTGGTTTTCTTTAGTTCTGGAGACTATATGGCTATAACTCAGAAGTAAACAAGCATGAAATCAGCATGGCCACAGCCTATAATCCTCAGGCTTCACCTTTCCATTGGCCAACAGCTATGAGAACCTCATAAATTTAAGAATATTCCACAGCATGTCTGCCTTAAGGAATCTGATTTAGAGGCTTAATCTCCATAGGTTTTATGATTCATCGCATTTGATAGACAGGGAGAAATATGAAATGTGACCCATGTGCACTGCTGTAACTCCACTGACATCAGACATCTATCATCAACTACCATTTGTATTCTACCTCTTAAGTATTTGTATCTCCCATTATTGGATTCCTCACAATCTTTAAATGTATTTCTCTTCTCAACAACTTAATGAGGTCAGGAGGAACTGTCACAGTCAGGAAAGCGAACAAAGACCGTGTTCTGCTCCGGGCTCGCAGGAAGACTGTGATAGCAAAACTGAGCACATCTCATCAATACTCTGCCGGTACCCTGACCTGCTGCGTCATGCTTCTCTCCATTTGCACACTGTTTGTTTGCTAATAAAAATTAATACAGAATGTTCCCACTTGGAGACATCTCAGCTGTCAAAATACAGTACTAAATGAGCTGCTGTTTAAAATAATTTTACAGACAAGTAGGCGGGCCTTGAGTACTTCCAAAGTAAAGCTGAAGACTGTATTTTACAGCGTTCCTACAGATGAGCTGTCACAACATGTTGGTGTGCAGTCTGGGGGTGAATTAGGTTCGGGTCTTTGTATTTTCTTATAAAAGGCTGTGCTGCTCTTCTTATCTGCACCACAAATTCCAACAACAGCTTTATGAACTCATCTGCAGTTGAGTTTTATCCTTCAGCGCATCACACTATCTAGGGTCTTCATTTATATTCATCAGTGAGGATGAAAATAAAATGTAGCTTTAATTCAATGGCTAATTTAGATTTCAGTACATGATTAACATTTCACATACAATTACTGCCATCAAAGTCAAGCATATGCATAAATCTTTGCAGGACTGGGGCCAAAACATTTTTGAGTATCCACTTATTCAGTACATTTTGTATAAAGAATTATTCTTATCTATTATTTATGCAAGGGCCTCAACTAGGTAAATCTTGACACAGCTAAGTCTCTCTCTATGTAATTACTCATTTTCTTTTCATCTGACTTCTACTCTGTGCATTGTTATCTGCATCTGCCAGCACTTGGGCACGAACACAGTTCACTAACTGTAAGACCACGTTACTCTGCTGCGTGGGTGTTCACAGGAGCAGCAGGGGTATGCAGCAAACAAGTCTCAAAACCTGAGTTTCCAGGAAAATGTGTAACAACTCCAGTAGGTAACAGCACTGACTGTATCATGCGGTAAAACCAACCACTAAAAAGTAATCAATACTAAATCATAAAAAGCTATACTGAGTTATAAATTATTGCATCTCCATAACAATACTACCATTCATTAAAATACTCTCATTCAGCTGCAGCAAAGAAAGGTCAACCAGTCCGCTTAAGAGAGAGTGGAATCACCAGAACTTCACTACTATATTTTTGGCATGCAATATATACATAATTAAACAGTTAAAAAACATATACAAGTGTAGTATACATAATGTAATTGCAGTCTTGCTGTGGATTGTATCTATCAATATATTCACAGCACCAGTCATAACATTTGCTAGCAAGAAAAACAGTAACTGATTTTTATTAATAGCGCTAATCAGGCACGCGTGCGACAGCCTGCCTTCCCTCCCCACAGGCACGGCCTCCGTGCCGTGCTTTGCACTGGTACCGGGGGGCTTTACAACGTCCCAGCAACAGGGCACGCTGGAGCCCTTCACGAGAAGCTTTGCAAACACCAACGCGAGATCAGTCACTACGAACCAGAGAAAGAAGGTCAGACAGTGAGCGAGCACCCACAGGCAGTAGGAGAGGTTCGCCATCCGGCGGGAGACGGGGTCCGCACACGCCTGCGACACGCCAAGCAGCAGGAAGAGCGCGAGAACCATCAGCAGGAGGAAACGCAGCGCCTCGGTCCAGCCTCTGACTGAGCTGCTGCACCTCAGCAAGCGGAGTCCCAGGTGGACGCTCGCCATGTATATGGCCAGATAGCCAAAGAGAGAGAGCAGGCCTTCCCTGTTGGCATTCAGAAAGCCAGCCCTCGTGTCTCTGCCGTTGCTCCCGTGCAGGATAAACATCTTCAGAGAGGTAGTGTTAAGAGCAAGCTGATAAAGTACAGCAAGATTTATAGCAACAATCCAAGATTGATTTTTTGGAAATACAGCTAGAAGTAGAGATGCTGCAAGCCTTACAAACGCTAAGGTAAAGAAAAAATTCCAGTGCACTCCATACTCTGAGGTATGTTCATGGTATTCGATGGACTTAACACTAACCAGTCGTCCAACGCCAAGAAAAATCAAGGGCCAAACAGAAAAGAACTGCTTGGCCAAACTGGAAAGTTTTAGTTGTGTCACATAAGACTTCTGCCTAACTTCAGGACAAACGAGAGCATTACCAAAAATAAAAGCTCCGACCCCCAAATCCATAACTCCTGTTCCATAGGTCTCGGCTTTGGCGTATCGCCTCGGATACTGCGGGAAATCCACTGCTAAAATGCTGATCGATGTCAACACATTGATGTAAACGCGAAACACAGTTACTGCTGGAATGTATTCTGGATCCAAGTACGCCTCCTGGAATTCTTTTACAATTTGCCTAAAAGGCACTCTGGTCTCCTGTTTTCTTTGGCTGTATATTTTAGAAAATATTCCGGCACAGAAGGCTGCAATGAGAGCTGGCACGACAAAGATGACTGGAGACAAGACTGTACAGGAGAACACGAGAGGAGATATTAGCACAAGGAAGTCCAGCAGCAGGCGGCGTTTCCTTGAACTGAGCGGTTTCCCATAGTGCAGGTAGTATAAAATCAAGAGGAGTCCCCTGCAAAGCAGGCAGAGTGGAGGCAGAGACAAGCCCAGTGAAATTTCCAGCAAACTCGTTCCATTTAAGTTGCTGATAAAGGCTTCTTTCAGGTGATTGTGTGACATTCTTCTCGCTTCCTCTGAAAACACAAACGTGAACGTGCATTAGTTTTGTAAAACAGGGCTCTTGGAACTTCGTTAAAAATGAATCTTAGGCACTAGTTCATTAAAACATCGATTTCAAAAACCGTCTGGTTTTCAGTTACTCTTCAGTTTAAGGACCACGGAACAGCCCCGTGCTGCAGACACAGGCGCCAGCGCTCAGCGGTGGCCGGGGAAGCTGAGCATAGAATCGCAGAATCAAAGTTGGAAAAGACCTCTCAGATCACCAAGTCCAGCCGTCACCCCAACCCCACCCTGCCTGCTAAACCATGTCCCCAGGTGCCACATCTACATGTTTTTTCAACCCCTCCAGGGATGGGGACTCCCCCACTGCCCTGGACAGCCTGGGCCAACGCCTGACCACTCTCTCAGGAAAGACATTTTTCCCAATATCCAGTCTGAACCTCCCCTGATGCTGGTTACCTGGGAGAAGAGACCAACCCCCCCTCACTGCCCCCTCCTGTCAGGGAGCTGAGACCCCCCAAGCCCCGCCGTCCCCCCCCCCCCACCCCGCCTGCCAAACCACGTCCCGAAGGGCCATACCCACACGGTGTTTGAACCCCTCCAGGGACGGGGACTCCACCACCGCCCTGCGCAGCCTGGGCCAGTGCCTGACCACCCCTCCAGTACAGAAACTTCTCCTGATCTCTCCGATCTGAACCTCCCCTGGCGCAGCTCGAGGCCTTGCGAGCCGCGGCCCAGCTCCAGCGTTACACATCTGGCTGCATTCCCGCGAGATTCTCTACATATTTTTGCCGAAGATCGCTAAATATCAAATACTCCGCTGAATATTCGCACTGTGACTGATCTTACCGCACGGCCTGCCCCGGAGCAGGCTTCGCCACGCTCCCTGCCGCCCACACGAAGCGGGGACATGAACCGAGGCCCCCCGGGAGCTCCCGCCGCCGGTCCCGCAACACACCGCCCCCGGGCTCCCCC